GCGGTTTGCTCTCTGGCGGCGAATCCCAACTGAATTCGGGCTCTAATTGTGAATATTCGCGGATTCTCTCGACGCACACCATTTCGGTCTCGGTTTCGGACACAAACCTCAGCGCCCATGAGATACTCGTTATGATCTCAAACGAGTAGATCAATACAAAGCCGGCCAAACCCGGTGTCATATCCTCCCTCTTCAGCACCACAAACAGCGCCGCCGAGAATGTAATGAATGAGCCGATAATCGCAGTCCAAATACTGACACTAGTTATAAAATATTAGATTAATACGACCCTGGTTGCCATTATTAACTTATGGTAATTATCAATGACTTACCACATATTGGCCGCCACCGTATGCTTCTGGACATTGAGATTAGTATCAATAAATTTTTGCAGTGTTTTTGTGAACGTTTGGCCCGTTTTATAGGCCCGGATAGAGACGGCGCCGGCAATACTCTCATTAAAGTGACTATAGATTGGCGATCGAGTGATTGAATTCATACGATTCAGTTGTCTTGTGGTCCACAACGAGATCCTCTAAATATCAGTTTATGGCAAACAGACAGATAATTAATACTAATTATACCGCAGATTACAATTTAACAATAGCATGGTGTTTTATTTTAATCCAAACCATGTTATAACATAACAACATGTAAAACAAGTTATACTTACGTAAAGTATGGCAAACACTATGGCCACAATCACTATCATGATAATAATAATGGGTATGGTGTAGACAATAACGGCCATGATGGTGATGGCCTGCATGCCATAGAGAATAGTGGCGTACATAAACCATGGTAAAAGCAAGTCAATCATCTCGATATCTCGATTGAATCGGTTTATTATACGCCCGGTTGGGGTGACGTCAAAAAATGACAGCGGAGTCCGCATTACGCTATTCAATAGGTCGCTGTGTATGAGCGCCGACACCCGCACCAAACCTACCCTATAGAGCAATGTCGAGCCCAGTGTGAAGATTGCGTACAATACTATTGCCGACACATATATGCCTAAGAAGTAGCCGTTGCTGTTGTGGTTTGTGTCGCCGGATGTGTCCGCCAAAGAGTGGTTACCCGATGTCCACACGTTTATCCAGTAATTAGATCCCACTTCGCAGACAATGGCCAAAAACATGGTTAATATGCTGACTGCGAGCACCACCGGACCAATCCGTGACACGTAATATTTGTAATCAAGTAATTTAATTGATCCAAACTGTGTGCTCTCGTCGTCTACCAGTTGACCATCTTTTACATTACACTCGTCTATAGTATTGTCTTCGGTATTGTCTTTTAGTAAAGACTTTTGTCGCGACAATTGACGCCTAATTAGCTGACTATCGCTCTCTCGGGATGACTGTCGCCGTACACCACCGTTACCGCCGATGACGTTATCGTCGGATCCGTTCAGCACCTGTTCGGTGAGCATTCCTCTGGCGACCAGCGCGTCGTAATCGCCGGCATCCACTATCCGTCCCTCACTGATCACCACAATCTGATCCGCGTCTTTCAAATACGACACGTGATGTGTGGCCAATACGCGTGTCTTAT